CTGCTACTAGCTTGGAGGCCATCGCTATTAGGTTGGAGGCCATCGCTTCTAGGCTGGAGGCCATTGCTATTAGGTTGGAGGCCATTGCTACAAGGTTGGAGGCCATCGCTACTAGGTTGGAGGCCATCGCTATTAGGTTGGAGGCCATCGCTATTAGGTTGGAGGCCATGGCTACTAGGTTGGAGGCCATTCCTACTAGGTTGGAGGCCATTCCTACTAGGTTGGAGGCCATTGCTACTCTGTTGGAGGCCATTGCTACTAGGTTGGACCCAAAAAAGATTGAAGAATCTCAAAGCAACCAGGTACTGATGGATGAAAGGCCACTTAGAGAAGTGAAGACTGCCTAACGACACTAGGAACATCTTGCGCTTACAGGAACCAATTTTATGGGTTTCGTTGGTGCCTGAAAACCCCATTCATATGACCGTGTCCATTGACCATGTCACCTCGCCTTCGCCATGTTCGACCCTCGATCTGGTAGATCCAAACGCGCGAAGGAGCTCGCCAAGCCTCACCGGGTGAAGGCACTCCACTGATCGTTCCGCTGCCGTTCACTCCACTGATCTGGAGTCGGTCTTTCAGGGGCATCAGCACCAGATAAAAGAACCCTCCAATAATAGTAGCAATGGCCTCCAACCTAGCGATGGCCTCAAACCTCAAAGAACCCTCCATATCCATGACCTCCCTCAGCCACCCCGCGCGTCAAGTCTTCGGGCGCTAACCTCAAAGAATGACCATGCCAGAGACGGGTTGCGTGGACGAAGGAGGGTTGAAATATAGTTTATAGTCACTAGTTTCATCCTGTTTAATCTCCATTCGGACTCAAAGTGCTGTGCATACTGTATCTGTGTACAAAGTGGATAGAACTTGAGTTGACTCGAACTGCAAGGCCCGGCCTCATGTTTTGACACAAGAACCTCTAACAGCAACGCTGCGCTCCTCGAGCATCCCTCCACAACGCGCGGCTAGGACCAATCCCGCTTCAGCCTCCCGTCGTCCGAATAGGTCCGAATGGTGCAAGGAGTGTGACACTGATCAACACGGCATGTTCATTAATGTTCATTCCCCTACGTCCATCACCAGAATGTATTTTGGCCTATCCCTCCTCAGCTCCCCCAGTTCCCGGACACGTCCGAGGCGTCTGTCTCTGTCTGGGATCCCAGGCCTCTGGAGCTTCGTGGTCTCCCAAGCATCCTGCCTTGGCGGTTCTCCGATACGGAGCGAGATCACGGCCCCAAAGACGGCTGCTTCGAGCCCACTGATGTTCAGACCAGCTTTTTGTTGATCTTAAAAACAAGATACATAATGATACATATACATGACCGGTCTAGAATCGGATCGACGGTCATGAAAACAACCTCAAGGCTCGGGCATGCAAGTCTCTCGGAACTCCTGCGCTGCACCTGACATGTTTTCTTCGCGAAACTTCACTTCGCATCTCTGAAACGCCCGCAGTCATCGAACCTGTCAAACTGAGTTGCCACTGTTTATCCCTCCTCCCGAGGGCGTTGGAGTGTCCAAACCCTGTTTGGCTATCCTGAACCAAGGTTTGGGCGTGGAAAACAGCCAAACAGTCCTTCAAGGAATTTGGATCATCTGACAGCAACTCAAGGCTTCATGAGACTTCGAGAACAACACACAAGGAGTTCCCCATTGTCTCTTTGCCTCCCAAACATGTGGGGATTCGACGGTGATTCACTGCGCCGTTCAGTGTCGTTTCTTCTTGCCTCGCGCATGGAGTTGCGCCAGGGACCAAATCACCTCCCGCAATGGGTGATTTAAGAGGAAGATCGTCTTGTTCCAGGAGCAACCAGGCCTCTTTCTGAAAAATCGTGTTGTCGCATACAAGACGCCACCCATTTTTGCTGTGGAAATCCCAGATTCTCATGTTGAGAACACACATTTATCGCGTGCACACCCTGTACAGTAATTTACTTGCAATCATCCATATTATGTGGATGTGTCTCTGAGAAACCCAGTTGTTGGTCGCAGAAAAACAGTTCTTTTGGAAGGTGGTCGGGGTGTTTGCCTGTCTGAAAAGCGAGTGGAGAATTGGAGAATCAGAAGCGGACGGGTCGACGGACGTATCGAAATCGAACGAGCCATGCTTCCTTGAAAGACCAAACGGACGAGGCAGTGAAGAGCAACTCAGGTGGCCCCGATGTTTTGTTAAAAGAAGGTGACTACGGTTCAAGTGAAGTCTTTGAGAATCTGCGATCCCATAGAGTCGTGCTGTGGCAGCGACACGACAAAACATCGTAGCTCGCCCCTATCCGTTCTTCAGTTCATCAGTGCTTCTGTGAGATGAACGCGGCAACGGTATAAACAGCGAGTTTCCTAACAGTGGCATTTCCAATGTTGTTGTCGTCGCCGTTCTACGTATCGCTGTAGTTGTCGTTGTTGTCACCGTTGTAGTTGTCGTTGTAGTTGTCGTTGTAGTTGTCGTTGCTGGCGTTGCTGTCGTGGCTGTCGCCGTCATCGTCCCCGTCGTCGACGTCGTTGTTGCTGCTGTTGCTGCTGTTGTTGCTGTTGTTGCTGCTGCTGTTGTTGTTTCGCAAATACCGGTCACAGAAAGACAGAAAGCTCAACAGTCTTAGACAGTTTTGACAACCATTATCCAACCTCGATCTTCTGCTCAGCATGAAGAGCTTGCAGGTCTTGGCAAGAGAATGCTGGAACCTCAAGACGGTCCGGAAAAGGAGTCAGCATTGAACATGCTCGAGCAATATGTATAACATGCTTTAAATTAGTTAGAGGATTGCCAGGTAGTGGTTGCACAGCTTGTAAGGTAGCCTGGTGTTTGTACAGCGTTTGCATATGTTTCACGCTCAGTATGCCGGGGGTTTGTTCGAAATGTGGGGGATTGGCCAATGGATTCGATTTCTGAGAGTCTCCTGGCATCAGAGACCTCGTGTATCAATGTAATGTCTGCTTGCAGTGGTTACAACGATTGGGAAACATTCTTCAGACTAAACAAGTTGGAACTCTGCATATCTGTAAAGCTAGCAGGTGCAGGCTGTTGCAGGTCAAGCAAATAACAGTGGTAACGAACCACACGAGCCGCAAGCGGCAAGAAGCTCACGGCTTGAAACCAATGGTCAAGTAGAGCTCGTAGACCCGGCGAACTCTCAAGCCAATCAGCAGGGCTGAGAGACTCCGCTGATTGGCTCCCCGGTTTGCCCGGACATAGGGAATGTCCGCGGCTGTTTCGCAAACCACTGGGAAAAACATGGATCCAAGCGTGCCAAGGGGTCAGCAAAGGTTCAGCAATGAGCTGAATCCCAAGGATTTTGGGGGGTCTCATGGTATAGACCAAGTTGGAACCTATGCTTATTGTGAAGAAACTTCTCATAAGGGGCCCCAGGACTCTTTTCAGATTCCATGTCAGTTCAGCCCAGTTCAGTCTGTTCTTTTTCTCCGCCGAAATCAGAGCATTGCATGGAGTCAGCATCTCCGGATGACGGTAGCAAGTTGCCTGCAAACAGGTTTTTCCAGAATGTGCTCTGAAACAACAGCAACCGCAACCCAAAAGCATCATGAATCACACTCGGAAAAAAATAACTAAACAAACAATTGCAAGCAAGCTATAACGAGATGAACGTGTTGACACCTGCCGGTTGCCCGTACATCGTGTGTGAACGGTTTTGACCACACTGCTCCTTCACACCATCGCAGAAATTTGGCCAAGGGCCCAGGACAATCTGGTGTGATATGTCTGTGGGAGCCGGTTAAAACTGGTCGGAGTAGCTCAACCCCTAGAACCTGCTTCCCACTGTCTTTAACGCAACGAAGTCAACAACTGGTCCACGTCCATTTCACCATTCGGGTGCCTCAGGTAGAAGCTCCAGCAAAGCGGACACCCATTGGTCGTAGCTGTTCACCGCACCTGCCACTGTTCCAGCAAAGCGGACCTGCTTCGGAACACGCAAACTAGCAAGCTATTTGGGGGGGGGGGTCAAGCCAAATCTGCAGTTCCGCAGAATTCCTCTTGTCATCTGTTCTCCTGCATTTTGTTCTGTTCGTTGATCATCCACCGATCTCACGTACAAAAAAAACATGTCGAAGGAGAATGACCAACACCAGTTCGTTTCTCTGTGGTTGCCTTGTTAGTCTTCTGGATGTCGTAGATGTTCATCGTCGGTGGCCATGTTCAAAAACATTGTTGTCATCACGCTACTATACACACTTTCTACAAGCAAACAAACCTGTTATCTCTGTCGTCCCGGCCTTGGGCCACCAAGCTCTCTGGCAAGCACAGGCGCTCTGCACGTTTGATATCTAAACTGCGAAGGGAACAGCAGGGGCAAAGCACCAGCGCGACACACCTCAGACCGTTCGCAGATCGACGTCCCAGATCGCTGCATTGTCGGACGCACTTGGCGCCCGAAAACGCGGCGCGAGTCGGTTCGGTGGGGTTCTTGCGAGTCATTTGGGTGGATGCTGGGTTGGTGGGTTCAAATGGTTGAGTTAATTGTATCGTGTCTGAACGGTGTATCAATGCATGTCCGGTTCAAAGCAAACACGGAGTACATGGAGAACGAGTCACTGGACACCTTGGTCAAAGGCAGGAGGCAGGAGGTATGATGAGTTGTCGGATGACCATGCATGACCCAAGCAAGCAAATTGACGAAATGCCGCTGATGCTTGTTCGCTTGTTGCTTCCAAAAAAGGCTTCACTTGACATCTCTGCGTCGCAAAGAAAGAGCCAAAGCATCCTGTGTCAAATGCCAAAGGAAGCAGGAGACGGATGCTCTCAACCACTGGTCGACTCCGGCGCCACGAATGATTGGGCCGATGCTGAGATCTCTGCTGAGGCATGGCTTGGTAGATCCGCATCGCGATCACACTGAGGGCCTGATCTGTGGCGATCCGGCACGGCCATAACGCTGACATCCACAAGTGCTTGGCTGAAGGGAAGAATAGCAGTGCCAGGTGCCAGGTACCATTTACCTATTGGTTGGACATGATCCCAAAAACATCTCCTCTACTACTCAACCAACCACTAGTACAAGGGCATCGAACGAAATCCCAGCTTTTTGACGTACAGATCCACCCTCTCGTTAGATCGATGGCGGTCGCATTGGACCGCAGGGCCCAAAAGCCCTGGAACCTCCCGTTCGGGAGCGACCGAATGGGAAGAAGTCCAAACTCACTGATCCAAGTCTGGGCCCTTCTCATCCCCGAAGGCTTGGTGCTGTTCATCCAAGAAACTTCGGAAACCGAAATTGAGTGGACTCCTTCCTTCCCAAATCTGGGACTCGGAAAACTGCTTGCAGGTGAACAAGTGGACTATAGACTAGCCCACAACCTTCGCTGGGGCAAAGGAACTGCAGGTCATGCACCACAAGCTCGTGCCAGAATCATCACTTCCGGTTGGAGGAAAATCCCCGGCCCAAGGGGTTGTACACAATCCAGCCGGAAGCGCGAGCCTGTGCGCGAGGCTCCACGAGGCGAGAAAAAGCGAGGCTAGGACACCTTCTACTGCTAAAGTACACCTACTACCTTTCTAGCAACTCAACTGCCGGAATAAAAGCGACATGTGCCTCATCCAAAAAGGGATATTGGATGATATTGGATCTTTCTAGTCCAAAGCTTAAATGCAGTTGGCCAAGACTTTTGCCAAGAAACCCCTCCCAACGAAGGAGCTTCAACTGTGATGCTCCCCAGCACCAGGCCAGCAGCGCAAACCTACCTATGCCGCGATCACCTCTTGCGTGGGCGCATTGCTTTGATCAATCTGGTGGGGCACTGAGGTCGTCGGCGGATGTGACTCAACCACCTTCCCTTGGGCTACGCTGATGTTGGGATGTTGAACCATCACCGCCTGCCCCACCACCACATTCCTCAGTGGGAGCAGAAAAGTGGCGAAAGCGCGTGAGTGCACGCTGCGGCATGGTGCGGTCTTATTTAAAAGTGCTGAGAAATGACAAAGGAAGGCTGGTGGCGCTAAAAGGTCAACCTCGCGAGAATCTGGAAGAATCAGAAATTTCACTGCCAAATCCACAGTCGGAAAAAACTACCTGCCTCCGAGATCTCTAGCCCAACCTACTCCAGCCTGCCTCCAATCTCGTTGGGTGAATCACAAAAAGAAACCAAACATCCAATCTCATCCCACTGACATCGATTTCCTGGATGCTTTTCCCACCCCAACCCTGCTCGCCACCTCGGAACGGAACGGACGGGACCGTCCAGGACCGGTGCTTTTGGGACGAACGTGCTCTCCGTTGGACAAACGGTGGAGATGCTCGGCTTGAGTGGCTTCGTTGAGTGGCGCCTTGTCAGAGCCACGGCTCGGCGTCCGTCGTGTTCTCCGGATCTCTGCCAAGTGTCTGGCCGGTAGGATCATACGTTTGCATTGGTCGCTCCAGTAGGGCATTGATCTGCCGGTACTCCCTGCCCGGTGCGCGACGCGAAGAACGGGACACCCCAAGCGCTGCACAGACCTGCTATACCCCGAAGCTGTTGATGAACATAGAAAAATCAACACCAGGTCCTTAGGTCTTCTTTAAGCCACACCAAGGAAAGGTTTGTCCCTTACTTTAGGTCATGGGTGCGGTTCCATCTTTCACAGACGTCATGTGTCCAAACATCTCAAAATCATTTCAGAAGTGACGATGGAACATGGCTCTCTTGGACAGTAGTCAACCAACACCATGTAGCCCATGAGTTGTGGGGAGGATTTCTCTTCGTCTCTCCAATGTCTGGGGGGCGAGATGACAAAAGGCAACAGCCAGCGCACCCTTACAGCACTCCACATGCACACGTTCGCACTTGAAAAAACGCCGTTCGTCATAGAAGTCCTCCAACTGCCCTCCCTGCCTGGTGGCTTGGCATGAGAAACACCAACACCAGGTGCAGCAATCGGAGCAGAAGGTCTCGGAACTCGTCGGAATGCCAAAGCGGGTCCTGAAAGGGATCACACCTCAGACGGCTGAGCGCGAGTCAATGGACTCCGTGGGAGAGCGGTTTGTCACCGGTACCCGCGGGGGTAGTGCCTTGGGTAGCGGGTAGTTGGGGTCGTCGGTACCGGGAGTTTCCTGAGATCCGCTGATGTGAGGCAGTACTGCTAGTAGCTTCTTGTTACTAGTAGCGATGGCCTTCACCTAGTAGCTTCTTTTGTGGTCCTTGAGGAGATACTCTCACGAACACCACTTGAATGTCGCTGTCAAAAAAGAGCGTTCTGCCCGATGTTGGAAGAGGTCGGCGGAGGAGCCTCGGGAGGCCAGCCGAACTCTTACGGAATCTTTGGGGACTCCATCGTCAACAATCCTCAATTCAGAAATTGATGAATGTTTTTAACCCCATGTGAATTGAGCAATCATTTAAAAGTTCCCAGGTCAAACTTCAACACACTTCAACATGTTACCTGACAGTGTACCAAGAGAGGGGGTGAAACAAAAAAAACACTCCAGCAAGGGCATCCAGTCAATCTTTGGACGAGTTCGCCAAGTTCGGGCAGGTGGGTGACGTGGGGTTCTGGGCCCAGACCACCTAAGGGTGTGGTTCAGGTAACCCCCCAAAAATGCCCCCCTTGCAGAGCCAACGATGCTTCCCTTGGCCATCGAAAACTCCAATACTTCAATGGCCCAGGTATAGATATGACCCTCCCGAACTTTCGAAGGTCGCATCAGATCACCTCAACATCCCTTTCTCGGTCTCCAGGAAACCAAAAGGTCCAGGCTGCGGCTACTCAGAATCAGAAGGCATGAAAGAGCAGACCAACGCTGGCATGACAGCAATGAAAACAGGATCGACTATAACACCGCTGGTGGAAAATGATTTCAGCTCTCAGTCATTCACTCAGTCACTCGGCTGGACGCATCACCTGGCTGGTGATACATCAGATGCCCATTGGTCTCTCTCCCCGTGACCGATCGCGACCGATCCATGCCGAGGCGCTTCCCATCCCTCCGTTGTGTCCGGGATTGAACCAGCCGAGGCCTGGTGGGTGGACTCCAACACGAAGATGACTGGTGGGGCGGCTTCGTTCCGGTGTTCTTTTCTCCGTCACAACCCACGGGCGAACGGTGGCGCCTCCGACCTGGTGCCAAAAAGGTGGAGAGAGTAACGACAATCCCACGAGGAGCGTGTGGGTTTTGAGCCCCACCACAACGAGTTGGTGCAAGATGGGCCGGAGAGAAACCTGAAACAAACAGCCCGACACGCAGCGGGTCAACGTCCACCCTCCGCCGACGTCAGCAGGAAGACTGGAAGGCTTCAGCAGGAACCATCAGAAAAAGTAATCTGTCAGCGAAAAGTCCTGTGTATATTATCCATCATTAATATATAGAGAGAGAGAGAGACACACACACATACATACATATTGAAACCTCTTGGGCCAGAAGTTCCCCACTGTTCTGTCGACCCATGACCATCTCTGGCAGTGGCTGCTCGGCGTCAAATCCGTCCATGCACCGCGCCTGAAGTCAAAGCTGCTAAGACACAGGGGGCAAAGCAATCAGCAACTTGTCCGAGCAAACAACAGCCAGCACAGGCCACAAAGAACCTCAATCGAACGGGCGATCCAGGGAGCGATCCAGGGCGGATCGCTCAGAACTGCCTTGGGAGGTGGAAATCACCTGCACACCGCACAAGTTCGGCAACTAGCTACGCCAAATTCCCACACATCGTGTTGGTAGAACAACTCGCGAGAAGGTTGGGCAGGAGGAAAAAGAAGGTCGAAAAGCAAAGCCGTGTTTGGATAGCAAAGCGCCTTCTCCCTGCAAAACCCTTCCACAAGTTGATAGCCGTCCATTTTCCGTGTAGTGGCTGCTTCCTTGTGGGCTTGGACCATGATTTTTCCCACAACCATGAAGATGGACTACCCAGCCCACTACTTGGAGATCTTTCAGGTAGGTCCGACGTTCTTTCAGGTTGGTCCATCCATGATCATTGCGGTCAATCCTCGTGTCTTAGAAATCATTGGAGTACTTCCTCGGACTTGCTCAGCTACTGTTGCTGGACAAGTGGACAAGTTGGTTCCAGCACTTCTAGGCCTCTAGGCAAGAAAACCCATTGGGTGTACATCAAAAGAAGTTAAAAACACCACTGAAGCAAGAACTTGGAGAAACCCCTTGGGGCATCCCAAGGGTCGAAACCTCTGAAGCTCTCTCTCGAGCCTCGAGCCTCGCTTCCGGGTGGTTCGAGCTGACGGGTCTTGGTGGATCCCATGACAAACGGTCCACCGAACCACTTCAGAGTGGACGGAGAAGCTTTGCCCACCGGAACCGCCTATAGGAAGCTTGTTGAGAGTGGAGCAGTGAAGCTTGAACCAGATTCTGCTACAGCCCGTTGAAGATCCGCGAGTGTTGAAGAATCTCAAAGATCCGGTGAAATCATCAGATTTTAAGCTGAGTTGCTGATGGCCATTGCAGTCCTGCAGATCGCACGCTTTGCCCAGGCAGGGCGGTACATAATGTTCGGTCGGCCCGATATGAGATGTTCGTCATGGAATGCATCATGTAGATTTTAGCTTTGATGTTCCGAGACGTGTGGGCGCCGTCCAATTTTGGTGGCTCCATTTTGGTCTTGGGACCCCCTTCTGTTGGTTCGACGAATTGTTAGAAGTTAGAAGTCCAACTTGCAGTGTAGGATTGAAGACACAGACTGGAATGGAATTTCCTGTTTCTGTTCTCTTGTAGACTTGGGTCAATAAGCATCCATGTTGGAATTGCACGTTGGTGTTTCTCCAGACGACTGCGTCTTTTTGTTACTCAAGGCTGAGTGAAGGTAGGAGACATGACACATCTTTGCGGAAGCCGAACGCGAGCTAAAACTCTCCACCGCGACGAGCATCTCATTTGCTCCACATGATCAATCCAACTCATTTGCATGGGAAATGACAGCTAGCATAG